TTGTATTTTAGTAGAGATGGAGTTTCACCATGTTGACCAGGACAGTCTTGAACTCCTGACCTTGTGATCCACCCGCCGCAGCCTCCCAAAGTGCTGGGATTACAGGCGTGAGCCACTGAGTCCAGCCCCCACATTTTCTTTATCCAGTCATCCACTGATGACTTAGGTTGATTCCATGTTTTTACTGTGGTAAACATATGGGTGCAGGTATCTTTGGTATAATGATTTCTTTTCATTTGGGTATATACCAGTAGTGGAATCACTGGCTAAAATGGTAGTTCTGTGTTTAGTTCTTCGAGAATTCTCCATACTGTTTTCATACTAACTTACGTTTCCACCAACAGTGTGTAAGCATTCTGTTTTCTCTGTATCCTGTTATTTTTTGACTTCTTAGTAATAACCGTTCTGACTGATGTAAGATGATACCTCCTTGTGGTTTTAACTTGGATTTCTCTGAGTGGTTACATTGAGCATCTTTCACATGCTTCTTGGCCATTTGTGTGTCTTCTTTTCAAAACGTCTACTCACGTTCTTCGCCTACTTTTTAGCAGGGTTGTTTGGGTTTTTTGGTTGAGTTGTTTGAGTTCCTTGTACATTCTGGATATCCGTTCCTTGTCAGTTGCATAGGTGGCAGAGACTTTGCAGGTTGTCTGTTTTGTTGATTCTTTCTTTTGCTGTGTAGAACCTTTTAAATTCCATTAATTCCCATTTGTCCATCCTCGTTGCTTATGCTTTTGAGGTCTTAGTCATGAATTCTTTGCCTAGACTCGTGTCCAAAAGAGTTGTTCTTAGTTTTATCTTCTAGTATTTATATGGTTTTGATTTCACGTCCAGCTTCAGTGGTTTCAGTTCTTAATTTTAATGTATTTTCAGAGAAAATATATCTTGGTTCTTTCTCTGCCATTGTGTGTTGAGAACATTGTGCTAGCTGGAGATGCAGTTTTTATGGTTCAGAAGTAGGGGTATCTTTGCTGACTGAGAAAGTTTTATTAGACCTTGGTCTATTTTTGACTGGCCTCTGTGATATTTAGGGTCATCATTTCAGGGCATCTGAGTGTTATTTTTCTTTCCCTTTAGTGATTCACATAGATGATCCAATCCTTATGAAAGGTCTTTACTTTTTACCCTAGCTCTCCTGTCTGAGAAAGTTTAAACGCTTCTGACTCACTGGCATAACCTCTGTGGTGAGATACCCTTTGGGGTTCAAATGTACACATAGACAAATTCATTCACATTATTTTATTTGGAGCTTTCTATGTTGTTGTATTTTTGGATAATTAATGGTTTCTCTGGACCGTTGAATTTGGTTGCTCACCACACTGTGTCATCTAAAGCTTATGGTGTGGTCCATACCAAGAAATAACATTAACATCTCCAGGTTTATGAGGCCAAGTTCTGGCCTGACACAGTCCCCAGTGAAGCCTTTGAAAACTATGCAAAGTAAAAGCCATTTGAAGCCTCTTAAAATGGTCCTAAGACCAAACATTAAATGAAACATCTATTTCAAGAACCTATAAAATTCATAAAGAAAGGTGAGTCATTGGTGATTGAAACAAGAGTGTTTCTGCTCTCCTTTCCCTTCTCAGCGAGGCAGAGTCTGCTCAAGACTTCTTAAGCCCACAGCACACAGTTCCATCTTTCCCTAGCACCGAGAAGGAAGGCTTCCTTCCTTGGTGAGCAGGACACTAGCAGTTCTGTTCTGGCTGCCAGCTGCCTGTTGTTGAGGCTAAGTCCTGGGTGTAATTGAAAGGTGGAGCTCTCATTTTCTGTCGAGTCCCTTCTGCAGAACAGAAGTTCTGTTTTGGGCACAGTGTGCTGAGAATACTGTCACTCAAGCCATCATTTGTGGCAGTAATGTCATGCCATAGAGGCACACCCAAAGAACCCAAGACTGCTTATGATTCCTGCACCTCAAGAAGGCGTGTAATCTGGACATTATCCTCTCTGTGATGGAAAAGAACAGTCTTTCGGCCGGGCGCGGTGGCTCGTGCCTGTAATCCCAGCACTTTGGGAGGCTGAGGCAGGTGGATCATGAGGTCAAGAGATCGAGACCATCCTGGTCAACAAGGTGAAACCCCCTCTCTACTAAAAATACAAAAATTAGCTGGGCATGGTGGCACGTGCCTGTAATCCCAGCTACTCAGGAGGCTGAGGCAGGAGAATTGCTTGAACCCAGGAGGCCGAGGTTGCAGTAAGCCGAGATCGTGCCATTGCACTCCAGCCTGGGTAACAACAGCATCTCAAAAAAAAAAAAAAAACAAAAACAGTCTTTCAACAAATGTTGCTAGGACACTGGATATCTAGATACAAAAGATACTACACTCAGGTTACCAGTTTTCTGCCTCAGTCAGTTTTGCTCTGATGTAACAGAATACCACAGCCTGAGTATTTGTAATGAATGGAAATTTATTGGATCATGTTTCTGGAGGCTGGAAAGATCAAGGGGCTGGCATATGGTGAGGGGTCTTCTAGCTGTGTCATCCTGTGGTAGAAGGGCAAAGAGGAGGGCATGCTGGGACAAATATCTTTTGTTATAGGAATCCACCCTGAAATAACAGCATTAATCCATTGATGAGGGCAGAGCCCTCACAGCCTAATCACCTTTTAAATGTTGCTTTATTTTATTTTTTTTTTTGAGACGGAGTTTCGCTGTTGTTACCCAGCCTGGAGTGCAATGGCACGATCTTGGCTCACCGCAACCTCTGCCTCCCAGGTTCAGGCAATTCTCCTGCCTCGGCCTCCCGAATAGCTGGGATTACAGGCACGTGCCACCATGCCCAGCTAATTTTTGTATTTTTAGTAGAGACGGGGTTTCACCATGTTGACCAGGATGGTCTCGATCTCTTGGCCTAGTGATCCACCCGCCTCAGCCTCCCAAAGTGCTGGGATTATAGGTGTGAGCCACCGTGCCCGGCCTAAATGTTGCTTTATTAAACACTGTTGCATTGAGGGTTACATTTCCAACATAGGCTTTTGAAATGAAATGAAAAATTTGACCATTCCGAATTACAGTTTGAAATTTCAGTGCTCCTTTCTTGTCTGCGATTGAACATGGCTAAGATAATCAGTAAAGGTGGATGTAAGAACACTATTGACCGACTCGACTCCACTGGCACCGGTAGGACATGACACCCAGCAATAGCAGAATGCACACATGTCCCAGTGCTCATGGAGTGCTACTTTGAATATCTGTGCTTTCTCCCTTTATTGATAGAATTAGCTAGTAGAGTGCCTACGTAGTTAATAAAAAAAACCCCAGGCTTCTCAATTATTATCTATGGTTTTAAAAATAGCTTCATTAATTTCTGCTTTGATCCTTATTTCTTTCTTATACTTATTTTTGCTGCTCTTTAGTGTCTTAAGATAAAATTCTTTCGTTCATCTTTTTCATTTTTAAAAATTAAAATGTTTAGTGCAATGAATTTTCTTCTAGGACTGCTTTAAATGCATATTATAGATTCTCATATGTTGCATATTTTAAAATATGTAAATGTCTATTTGCATATAAAATACATATTTACATATAAAATCTACATATTTTAAAATAAGTATTTTCTGTTTATATTTTTCCTTTTATTCAGGAGTTAATCGATTTTTAAAAATTTCTTGGTGAAAGAGACTCTGTGTTATTGTTAGTAAAGTCTGTTTTTTTTTTTTGAGACAGAGTCTTGCTCTGTCACCAGATAGCAGTGGTGCTATCTCGGCTCACTGCAACCTCCACCTCCCAGGTTCAAGCAATTCTCCTGCCTCACCCTCCCAGGTAGCTGGGACTACAGGTGCACGCCACCGTGCCCAGCTAATTTTTGTATTTTTAGTAAAGACAGGGTTTCACCTTGTTGGCCAGGATGGTCTTGATCTCCTGACCTTGTGATCTGCCCTCCTTGGCCTCCCAAAGTGCTGGGTTACAGGTGTGAGCCACCATGCCTGGCCAGTAAAGTCTATTTTTGCATTGTGATCAGAGAGTGCAGTTTTTAGTATTTCTTTGCGTTACTAATTTTTCTTTCCAACCTAATATATGCTCGGTTTTTGGTGACGATCCCATGGGCACTTGAGAATAATACCTATCTTCTGTAATATGTCAACTTTAATATGTCGCCATAAAATGGACCCTATTTTTATGTTGCTGTTTTTGCCCACTTGATCTGCCTTTCTCCGATAATGGTATATTATAGTTTTCCTGTTTATTCTTTTTGTTTTTTTGAGACAGTCTCACTCTGTTGCCAGGCTGGAGTGCAGTGGCATGATCTCAGCTCACTGCAATCTCTGCCTCCTGGGTTCAAGCGATTCTCCTGCCTCAGCCTCCCATGTAGCTGAGACAACAGGCATGCATCACCACACCTGGCTAATTTTTGTATTTTTAGTAGAGGTGAGGGTTCACTATGTTGGCCAGGTTGGTCTCGATCTCTTGGCCTTGTGATCTGCCTGCCTTGGCCTCCCAGAAGTGCTGGGATTACTTACAAGGTGTGAGCCACCGCGCCCGGCTATAGTTTTCTATTATGGGATCATCTATGTCTTATCTCCTTAACATCTCGTGTAGTTTTTAATTAATAAAGATGATTATGTTATTTGGTACATAAGTCTTCTTAAAGGTCAGATCTTCATGTGTGTTATACCTTTTAGCATAAAAAATGTGTCCTCCTTTACCTTGGTTAATATTGTGGGTCTTGAATTCTGCAGTACATGATGTAAGAATCACTACTCCTGCATGCAGTTGATGCAGGAAAAAAAAATGGCTACTCCTGATCTCTTTGTTTTCGCGTGTCTGATACTCTTTCGCCCATCCGTTTATTTTGTCTTTTAGAATCTGTTTGTTTTAGCTGTCTCTCTCATAGAAACCATACTGTGTTTTATTTTGTGAGCCTGCTAAAAATATTTTTCTTCTAGATGTGTGGAGTCCACTCACACGTGTGTGTGTTTGTGTATTACTCACCTCTTTATTTATTCATACTTAGGAGAGTTTTTGCTTGTTTTTTGAGACAGTGTCTTGCTCTGTTGCCCAGGCTGGAGTGCAGCAGTGCAGTCGTGGTTCATTACAACCTCTGCCTCCCAGGTTCAAGCAGTTCTCCTGCCTCAGCCTCTCAAGTAGTTGGGATTACAGGTGTGTACCACCACACCCAGCTAATTTTTGTATTTTTAGCAAAGATGGAGTTTCACCATGTTAGTGAGGCTAGTCTTGAACTCCTTACCTTGTGATTCACCCGCCTCGGCCTCCCAAAGTGCTGGGGTTACAGGTGTGCGCCGCTGCTCCTGGCCACTTAGGAGAGTTTTTATTTATGTTGGACTGTTTACTTTTGTACCTCTCCTAATTCCGTTAGTTCTGTGTTTTCCTAGTTAATCTTTTACTTCTGATTTATCAGTTTGGGGATGTTCTTCAGCACTCCCCTATTGCTCATGCAACATGAGCGCTTTCAGTTTTCCTCTTTCCTCCTCCCGTGTTTAGTTGTATTATTTCTCCTTTGTCACAATATTAGTGACATTTGCGTGCCAGTCTTCTGCCCTGGATAGGGAATATACACCTGTCAGACTGAAGGAATGTCATGTTATATGCTGCTGTCAAATACTCTAACATACTTTAATCATCTTTTAAGTGATACACTCCAAGTTCACAGTAATCCAAGTTCACACTTAACTCCTGACTTTTTATTTCTGTCATATTTAGTAAACACATCAGCATTGACAACCATCCCACTGCAGTATCACTTCATGTATTGCTGTAGACCAAAGGGTCCTGAGAAGCTTCTGGAGTTGTTGTGAGAGCCAGTCTCACTAGGGTCAGACATCCACCTGTGCTGTTTTCTACTATGAGCTGAATTTGGGAGACACATTGTTAGGAGCATCTGTGTGGTGTGAGGAGTGTCTAGTTACTGCTGGTGGACCCATCAGGATCAAGGATGAGCCCAAGCATCTGGGATGTGAGGTGTGGCTGAATCCACCTGTTCTGTTGCAACAGGGTGAACTGGTGAACTCCTCAGTGACCTCACAATACCACTGTCATGTATCTTTCATTTTTCGCATCACAGTGTATTTTCATAAAATCTTTACTGGTTGACTGCAACTTTAGCATTTCCCATTCAAGAGACAACTGCTGTGCGCTTGGATGGCTTGGTAGAGAGGAAATTGGCTATTTTCAGAGTAAACAATTCAAGAAGGAAACAAATTAATAAATGACATAGCTGTGATATCAAGCAATGCTGATATTTGTAGCAAGGACTAGAGTGCTGAGATGCCTGTATGATAAGAAATTATAATGGAACCAATGTTGTGCTTTATTTTTTATTAATTTGGAGCATTCTCTGGTCTGATTTGTTTTCTGTGTGATATTTTGCTGCAGGTTAAAAGCTGAAGCAACCTCAGGAAAACCTCAGGGAAAAGAGGTGAGCAGCCACTTTGGTACTTTGAAATTCTTTGTGTGGTCTGTGGGCAGTGATGTCAGAATGTCAAGGATTGTGAGTTCATTCTTTCAGAGGCTTGAAGTAGATTATTCTTTTGCTACATATATTCCCATAAATGTGTCCCTACCTCGTTCAAGGATTTCCCATTATTGTTTCTCTTTGTTTAAATCTGTTTTTGAAATGACCTAAGCAATTATGGAGAACCATTGACGTACTTCCTTTTGTCACTATTCATGTTGGGTGAAAATAATCTTGTAGTGAAATTCAAGTGTTCTAAATAATGTGTTTTGGTTTTTTTTTTTTTTTAAATCTTTATCTGGCAGATTTATAACATAGATGTTTCTATATACGTTAGCACTGTAGTCAAAGCATATATTCTGCTACCTTACTCCTTAAATTTTTAGTTGATTAAAGAGTTTTTATGAAGTTCTCCAATAGATTTTTTTTTTTTTAGTTGAAACGGAGTTTTGCTCTGTTGCCCAGGCTAAAGTGCAGTGTCACGATCTCGGCTCACTGCAACCTCTGCCTCCCAGGTTCAGGCAATTCTCCTGCCTCAACCTCCCAAGTAGTTGGGATTACAGGCATGCGGAACCATACCGAGCTAATTTTTGTATTTTTAGTAGAGACAGGGTTTCACCATCTTGGCCACAGTGGTCTTAAACTTTTGATCATGAGATCTACCCACCTTGGCCTCTCAGAGAGCTGGGATTATAGGTGTGAGCCATGGTGCCCAGCCAGATTTTAATCTAATTTATTAGAGCAATTCAGTCACATGTTTTTTTCATCCCATGTATACGAGAGTTCCATTATTCAGATACTAAACAAAGTGTCTACTGTCCATTTGCTGTTCTGACTGATGATGCCCTAGATAACCATGCCCAAAACCAGCCTGGTATGCAAATGCTTATTTGTCGGGAGGGTGCTTGTTTGGATCGATGATGAGAATACTTGTCTGAGGATGCTGAGGGACTCATTCCAGATGTCAATCTGAGGTCCAGATGTGCGGCCCTCCAGTAGGACAAATAAGACTCAGAGCCTGGCTCCATTTGATGGTCCTTCAGTGACAGCATAGTACCCCTGCGAGCATGCCGCTTCTGCCTCTCCAAAGAGGGCATTAGCGTCCTGTCTTATGAGTAGGTGTGCACTTTAAGCTTAGTGGCCCAAGATTTGCTTTGTTTTGTTCATTTGAACAGAGAATTGTAGATAGATAGTTACATATGGGATATATATTCTTAAGACAAATGGAAAACTTTAAAAGAGTCAATTAAGGGTCAAGCAACTGCGATAGGTACTGAAAACCTCATTAGCTGAGTGTTGTGCTAAAAGAAGGCAATATGGCCGATAGCAAATCATGACAGGGGAACCGCCTGGAGTGCTGCTTTTACTGTGTGTGTTTTCTAACATTATGTTTCTTTCTTTTTTTTCTTTCATGTTTTGCTGAGATAGAAGGGCTGGAATCAAATCCTCCACTTCGGAGAATAGGGGTGAGTAGCTAAACCATTATCTTTTGAAATTCATATGTTGTATGCTCTTTGTAGGTCTTTAGGTCTTTGGGTACGTCTTTTCAGAGGCTTATTGGATGACATTTTCACGTCCTTTTCGTCCTTGAGACCCTCACCATGTCACCTACACTGTTGCATCCTTATCATTTCTGTTTTAATTTGAACTCTTTTCTCCTTTTATGGAAAAGTGTAGAATTTAAGAGAACTTTTGGCAATTTCGTATTGGATGAAAAATTATTGTAGTGAAATTCAGTTGTGCCAAAATATAAACGTATTTGCTTCATCTTTTTAATTGTGGGGGTTTCAGAATAGAGACTCCATGGTTCATGAGATCTTTGTAGTTATACCAGATTATGGTTGTGCTTCTAATTTAATTATTAAAGACTGAGTCGAATTGGTCTTTTTCTGGTTGTTGCAACAAGGTAAGTTATATAAAATGTTCTTATTTTTACGGCATGTCTGAGATAATAGTAGATGTGACAGCCCTGGGTGGTTTCTAGAATGCATGTAATTTTTATTTCTTGATCTGTGTGTTGAGTACTTGCTGTTCGAATCATGCAAATATATTGAGCTTTACAATTTTAGTGTATTCACTTTTCTACATGTATATTATTCTTCAATAGAAAGTAAAAAAAAATCTCATCGAACTGTTGGTTAATACATAAAAATGTCAGGTAGATTGTGTATGACATGGTGCTTATTGAATGATGCCCTCATAATAGATCAGCTGGGTTCTCTCTTTAGCCCAGGCCTTTTTAGCAAATCATATCATGAGTAGTTACTCAAGTATTTTTATTTTAACACATGCATATTTTTTCTATGCCTATTCTTAAATTCTCTTATATTTTTTTCTCTGTTATAAAAACATGCTGAATGATCCCAAGTCTTAAAGATTGCAGTATTGTCCTGATGTAGTCATGTGTTTTGGTGCTCGATTCTTTATACTGTCTTTGCAAAATCACTTGAACTGGTACATATCTCGTTTTGCAGAGAGGGAATTAATGTGATGTCTTGATGCTTTTCCATTCTACGTGCTATATAATTGAATATACAGGCAAATATAGTATATTTAGTGTGATTATTTCCATACCACATGTGAGATTTTCTCATAGATCTTTTTTTTTTTTGAGACAGAGTCTCGCTATGTCTCCCAGGCTGGAGTGCAGTGGCTTGATCTCGGCTCACTGCAACCTCCTGGGTTCAAGTGATTCTCCTGCCTCAGCCTCCCGAGTAGCTGGGACTATTGGCACATGCTACCATATTCAGCTAATTTTTTGTGTGTTTTTATTAGAGGCAGGGTTTCACCATGTGAGTCAGGATGGTCTCGATCCCCTGACCTTGTGATCTACCTGCCTCAGCCTCCCAAAGTGCTGGGATTACAGGCGTAAGTAACTGCGCCCGGCCTTCCTCATAGATATTAATAGAGGCCCACATGCATTGTATGGTTGAGAATTTGGGGAAATATTGCTGAAGTCGGGTAAAGTATAAAGCCAAAAGTCAGAACAATGAACTTCCTGTTTAAGAATTTCCTTGGCGATTACTTAGTCAATATACAACTGATAATGCTTTTCGCCTTTTGAGTTCTTGACACATGAAAGCTAAAATGTCTTTCAACTTTCAGTCCTGCTTCCCTAGTTTTCCCTTTTTTAGTTTAAGATCGAAGAGCTCCAGCCATAAATTACTGCCAAGAGTAAGCACTTCATTTTAAGGAAGCTTAACAATATAGAAGAATATAAAATTATTTATGACAGATGTATTTTTAACCTTTTCCCCATGTTTTCCAGCGGTAAAATGTTTAATCATCTGCCCTATATTAGGGAAAACCTTTCCATGCTAATAACAAGTATCTGTCAATCCATTTATCTTTATGTATAATATTCATCAGTCATAACCAATTAATTGTTTTGTAAATGAGCTTTAGATTGGCCACATTACATTTTGGTAGTAACATATGTTATACAATCTCCTGAGGTCCTTATAGGTCTTGAGATCTCTATTTCAAAAACTATAAATGTGCCAGTGTCCTCAGTAAATATAAAGGACACCACATTTCGTTTAGCAATTTCTTGTTTTCAGAATAATGGTTATCAGTGTTTGGCGACTGCAAGATACCATACACTTAGAGTCAGAATATGCCGGTTTTTATGCACTCATGCCTCGTTTCTGTAGAGCATTCCTAGAATGAGTAATGCTTGAAAAGTGGGTCCATGTGATTTCTTTAATGAGATATAGTCAAACCATCAAATATTCAGGTTATTATTTCAGTAATGTATTAGCATATCAAGGTAACGTTATACAGAACACATATTTACACAACATAAAATAGATTTTATTATTTAATGTATCTTCTTAAGTGATAAGTACGTTTAACATTATTAAAATAGATTAAAATGGTTTATAGGCAATACAATGAAAATTGGCAGTCCTTTGATAAAACATGTGCCGTAACTGTAGCATTTATCACTGACGGTCATACCAGGATAGTATTTTATTTCCAATCACTGAAATATTCCTAATTGCAAAAAAACTTGAATAGTAAATTCAGAATTCTAGAAAGAGCCATTGCCTGGATAAATTACACAGGTTTCAGTTTTATTTATAATAATTATATATTTATAAATTAATACATAATAAATTAATAAGTTGTGCTGGGTAATGCAAAGATGACAGTGAAAGGACAAAATTGACTAGATTGATAAAGTAATGTTATCATGAAGAAATTAACCAGAATACCATCCATACTCTAAAGTTAGAAAAATTTATCAGGACAATTCTCTAAAATGCTCTTTTCAATTTTAACATTGTAATAGGAATTTTTAAAATTTGGTATTATGTGTGTTTCCTTCCAGATAATTTGAACAAATTCATATTTGGAATTTTTTAAAGCCATATCTTTGTCCTTAGTGCTGGTCTATTCTTGAGAATGAATGAATAAGAAGTATGTAAAAGCCACAAACGAAGGTGTCAGTTTGAAGTAGTCAGTCAGTTACCCGGAACACAAAGAATTTTATCTTGTGTAATGTCTACTTAGCTTCATAGGAGTGTGCCGAAAGAGCAGTGAAACACGGGCATTGTCATCTCATTGAGAGGTCCGGTAGCTACTGAAATAGAGCTTTTATTTTGAACCATCCACCCGATAAACACTGTATGGCTTATTTAGATGAGAGCCCGTGTGTGTGTGCGTGTGCGTGTGTGTGTGTGTGTGTGTGTGCGCGCGCGCTTGACAGGGAAGCAGGAACATCAGGTTGCCCGTGATGCACTCTGTCTATGCTGAAAACATGGCTCCCCCAGTTCTGGAATGAGCCCAGAGATCAAGCATTCGCAGTAGGCATAGCAGGCTCCAATGCCTCTGTAGACACTTATTTCATGATCATCGTATGTCGGGAGTTTCAAAGTATACAATTTGTGTGAAGACAAATCCAATGTCATTTTTCCTGGCTAGACTATGTGTGTGGTAAATCTATTATTTATTTATTAACTTGCTTCCCAGAAAATGACAATCAGATTAAGAAACTGCAGCCAAGGGTCATGATGAGGTAGATGCTGAAGTGTAAGCTTATGTTATGATGCCCTTGCTTTGGATAAGCATATATAAGAGAACACTGGGAAACACACATGGCAGGGAAGCCTTGATGGAGGCAAAATACAGGATTGTATGTAGTAATGCAGTCAATAGACGGGCATTTGACAGTCATATTTTTCAAATATGGATACAGATTGCTTAGGACAGTAAAGAGAGACAGAGTTGAAAGCAGGTTTATATTAGGTGTTGCCTTATATAAGAGAACACTGGAAAAACACACATGGCAGGGAAGCCTTGATGGAGGCAAAATACAGGATTGTATGTAGTAATGCAGTCAATAGATGGGCATTTGACAGTCATATTTTTCAAATATGGATACAGATTGCTTAGGACAGTAAAGAGAGACAAAGTTGAAAGCAGGTTTATATTAGGTGTTGCCTTAGTGTTGATCCCTTTTTGCTCCAGTAATCAAAGTGATCGATATTGAAAATCGATTCATGCAACATTATTTATTCATTCTAATTTTTATATGTGTCAACAGTGCCGTCTCCCAAACTGTACTATCCCCTTCAGGAGAACTGACTCTGCTGAAGTTTATAAGGTTGATGTGTTGCCAGCTTCAGTAAAGTAAAGCTGAAATGTATACTGAATTCTTAATGCAAGTAACAACTCTTTTGGAAAGGAACCCAGTTATAGAAGTGCTCATTTGTCAGGAGCTGCCTTGCCAAGATCAGTGATGAGTAGTCATCTCAGGATTCTGAAAGGTTCTTTTCAGACATCAACCAGAGTTTTAGAATGGTTCAATATCATGACCTCCTGAATTATCTCAGTCATCCCTGTTTCCCTGCTTTTCTTTTCTCTCAGCAAAAGGCACTGTCAGAATAGCTTTCTTAGGCAGACTTCCCCTTGGGTTTTACATTAAGGAGGAGTCTGTTGTTTCATTTATTTTGAACTGTTTGTTGTTGATTGTGTACAGTGCTTGAGTAAAAAAGTTGAATATAGGAATAGAATCATTTTTTAAATGATCAGCTGACTATAAAGTGGATTATTAGTGTCAGTAATGTTGGGAAAGTTCCGAAAGAGGGAACATGGACAGTACACAGTTACGCTGGCACCAAATTGTAGTTACTGTTGATGTATTTCTTTCCAGTTGATTGGTCTGCTTTGTTTCCACATGTTTTTGGGAGATAAAATGGCTATAACAAGTAACAGCATGTCAGGAAATAAAAATAAGCAGAACCCCATTCCTTTAAGAATCTTCATTTAATGGGAGGGCCGTAAAATGAGTCTTAATGCATCTAAAGAATTAAATTCATGTAAACCATGTTAATTTAACTCCACAATGGTGTTGAATTAGAAGTAAGAGAATTTCTCTTGAAAATCTCCCAAATGTTTGGAAATTTAAGTTAGCATTTCTGACCTATTTATTGGTTTAAAAAATAGATATAAAAAGGAAAAT